TCATTGGAGGTAAGCCCTTACCCGCAGCATTACCTTCAAACGAAGGGAGAACGCATGGATAAACAGAATCCAGAGAAGCGAACAAAGAATGCCTTACAGAGAAACTAATGTAGAATGCCTAGATAAGTACATACATACTTATTTATATTAAAATGAAATCAGAAAATGTCTTAAAAGATTAAAATTAATTAAAATTTTTATAAATCAGTTTATATACATACATATGTATGTATTTAGGTATTTAGATTTTACTTAAAAATCGGTATGTACATACATGCATATTTAATTAAGCTTAAAATTGTACTTCCTCACTCATGTACTTCACTTCATTGACTGACTTCAACTTCGCTGCAAATTGAACAAAGCAAAACATGATTTTTATGCGAGACAAATTTCCACAGAAAGTAACGGTAGAAAAAGAATTTTTGGATATTCATTCTATTTTTCAGCTGACTACGATGCAGCATTCTACTTTGCATTCCCTGAAATGAAGCAAAGAAGCGAAACAAATAAAATATTGTAGGACATTCTACTTTGCATTCCCCGAAATGAAGCAAAGAAGCGAAACAAATAAAATATTGTAGGACATTCTACTTTGCATTCCCCGAAATGAAGCAAAGAAGCGAAACGAATAAAATATTGTAGGACATTCTACTTTGCATTCCCGGAAATTAAGCAAAGAAACGAATTAAAAAATAAATATTATAGGACATTCAACTTTGCATTCCCCGAAACAAACGAAGAAGCGAGATAAATAAAATATTGTAGGACATTCTACTTTGCATTACTGGCAATGCCTAAAAGAAGCGAAAAAAATCGAAGGCATTATAACGCTATGCCTTCTAGAACACGTTACCACTAAAAGCGATTACCGATTTTTTGCTGGGATGCTACAAAAGCCACAAACATTGTGTGGGTGTGTACGGCGAAATAAAAGAAAAGGGTTAACTGCTTGTTGTGGGACTTATCAGCTGCAACAACTTTCACTTGCAGCAACAGCAAACGCAACCGCAGCAACAAAAGCAACGGCGACGCAATACCTAAATATCCTTACTAGTTGTTTGCCCCATATACATACAAGTCCCTTTATGCTTGCCACAACATTTACGTGTCGTTTGTGGTGAAAGGCAAGTGGGTGGTGTGCATGCAATTCTATAAACACAAATAAACACTTATGTATGTATGTATGTACATACTTTGCTGTGTGTGCGAGTGTTAGTGGTAAATTGGTTAGAAAGTATGTCGCTCGTTGTTGGCTGGCTGGCTGGCACTGGTGGCACATTGCAATGTAAATTAAAAATATAATCGTACCATAGTTCCTCATGACGTTTGCCAAAGGCAGTTATGTGTGCTAGAAAAAAAAAATTTTAAACAACAATAACAATAATAATAGTAGTTAGTAGCAGCAATGATGTTTGCCGTTTTGCTCTTAACCACAAATGTTTTCGTTTATGCATTTCATTTGGGATCCGTTCATGCCCGTTACAATAGCCAGCCTTACTTGTAAATATTCTCTAAATGTGTCGAGCTCCAGTTTTGGACTGCAGGCGTTGGCAAGCTACGGTTGCGGTTGAAGGCTGTTGGCAGGAAGCATCTCTCCTAGTGTGTTGGCTGTTCCTTTTACAGTTGCTTATCTAAATGCGACTGGTACACATGCACACTATAATTCACTCGTAATTCACCCCGTCTGTGCTAAGCACTACAATCTCTAGACCAGCGCGCACTCACAGATATACAAAATATACAAACAAATTGCACACAGCGAATGCAAGTGAATGCCAGTTCGGTGTGCTCCTTTTTGCTGGCACCCAACAGCTGATGAAGTTGAAAAAGGTAAAGCGTCGGCAGCAGAGAAAGAAGCTTTTCATCTGCTAAACGTTTGCATCTCCCTTGGGTGTGTTTTTGTCTTTAAAAGGTGGCATACAGTGGGACCGAAGTGTTAAAATTGCAAATTGTTAAAATAAAACAGGGGGTTTCGGCACTTCACTCCTGGGATTTTCTAAACTACTCTGAAGGCTTCAAATGAGTTTGTACGGCCCCTGTCTGGCATTGAGCGTTACTCTACATTTCTGAAACAACCTTGGACGAAGGCATTACGTACAGCAACCGTCAGCGAACCTAAATTCAATAAGAAACAAACTGAGCTGGAAAGTGCGGCACAGCTTAGGCCTGAAGATTATCATTGACTTATCCTATTCGTGTCGAAGGCAGTGGAATGGAATGGTCCCGCATCAGCTATATTATTCTAAACGAAGTTCCAAAATGGGAGGACCATGGCTTTAGGATATGTGTGTGTGCACGTATATACCCACTAAAGAGTCCATGAATAATCCGTCTACAAAAAACGGGATCCGTGTTTCACCAAAAACCCCAATATTGGAGAATAGTGTAAGTAAGGGAAGTTCGAGAGATGAACGTCAATATGTAATGCATGTGCCGAAAGAGGAATGAGCTATGGTCTTGATTCCATTATCACCCCAAAACCAATAACTGCCAAAGTAACAAGCCCGATAAATACCTCAAATGTACGCACGGATTAATATCTACAGCGTTCTGACAGATAACATATGATGGACGCGCGAAACGCCTCGTGCGATCCCTGGCGGAGGCATCTGAATCGATGACGGATATGAGTGGTGCGCCCTCTTGGCTGTGTTTATCGTATCCATATCGAAGCTACGTCAACCATCATACATAGTTTCACTGATCTCGTTCGATGGCGAATACTATCTACCCGAACTTTCTCGGCTTTCATGGCGCAGAGCCTTAATCAAGTCGCTATAAAATAAACCTCAGCTTTCTTCACTACCAGAGCGAACTAAGTCAAGCTGAAGTCAGTGGACGAAACTCCAGATCTATCAGGACACCGTGCTCTGGGTAGCATGGGGTTGACTTTTGTTGTCGAGTGAACATCAGCTGCAAAGCGAGGCTTCAATACTCGTACTCAGGAGACAGAAAGTCCTGTTTAGAAATATAGATGTCTGAAGCAGAGACATATGTTAGGAACTTCAGAAAGCATCTTCTTGAACTTACGAGGCTTCAATACTTGTCCTCAGGAAACAGAAAGTTCTGTTTAGAGATACAGATGTCTGAATCCGAGTCACATCTTAGGAACTTCAGAAAGCATCTCTCCGAACTTACGGACGGGATCCAGACATACATGGCACAACCAGTAGACCGGACGTTGTAGAGACAGGCCAAAAACCGACGATCACCGAAAAAAAAATTACTTCCTTTAACAGCTCTCGCCACGTGAATCCCATCATCGGCTTTCAAACATGGCCCAAAGCAGACGAAGAGCTTTAAATCGAGAGATCTGGCGCAAACCAGGTCTGGTTACTGTAACAGACTAAACTCTTAATTATCAAAACTCAACCCCCGATGTACATATGTACCTATAAATATCTAGCTTGTGAAGGTACACCAAACGTCACGAATTATTTATTAACATGCCCGTTTAAAACCATTCAACAAACACTCCTGCCCTTTTCGTCGGATCTTATCGTACCTGCCGTTTGATGAGCCTGACGGCAACGATTCAGAGACAGAGCTAAGTATTGCTACAGTTGGACATGGTGATCGGCATTCACTCCGCATATGATCTTGTCCAGTCTGTTCGCAGCCTTGGGACTTCAAGCCGTCTGGTGTAACTTCTTAGAGGATGCTCGCGATATAATCGACAAAACGGCCGTTGCTGAGAAGCTGTAACAAATTACTACATATAATATTCCTCTGGCTGTCTCAACCATTATGTTTTTGCGCCTAAAACTAGAAAAGTGAGGAGCTCGCAAAATCCAGGATCTTTGGGTTTGGGTGGATTACAGCATTAAATTTGGTCAAAAAATCGATTTCTTTCCCACTTAGTTTTCTCAACCCGCATAGCCAAGAAAACGTTGAATGATTTAATATGAAACTTCTCAGGTTAGTCACTACATATGTATATAGTCCAGGGACCTGAACTTTATTCCCGGCAGGCTACAGTACATGAGGGAAACCAAAAAGTAGGAAATTTCCTATTGCCCTCGGGCAAATCATACGATGTGGGTATATACCAACATAGCGGCTTATCCATTTCGATATTAGGAAACTGAGTTTCTGCCATTTGACATTTGTCCATATAAATTTTGCCAGCTTTATTCCACCGTGCACCTGTCACATTGCTATATATTTATTTGCCAACAGCTTATTTTAAAGCCTAACAAAGAGTTGGGGGTTGGCATGTGGTAAAGATAATATTCATATTTATTAATGTCTTTTACAGTTCGTACACTTTCGAACTGCGTGGATATTTGCTTATCAAAGCGACCGCACACACAAATTTAGCCTTCTGTTTTATTCTACAATATCTGAAAAGATGATGCTATACAATTTAAATATACCATTCACCCTCTTCGACCTGCCAGCAATTCTGCATTTTTTAACGCATTTCACTGGCAAACTTGCATGAAAGCCAATTGCTTGTGGTTGCAGGTTGTTGCGTGGCAAGTGAAAAGCGAAATAAAAAATTACAAAGAAATAATGAATTTTTGGATTCGTCATTCGTCGCCATATAATCTTTGCATTTAAGTATTTTTGCTTGTTAGGGTGGTTTCATGTTGGCATGTGAACACGTGTTGGCGACATAAAATGACAAAAATCGCACAAAGCTGTAAAGCGTTTCTTCGTGTTTTGAGTGGCAGTTGGAGGGATTTGCCGCTAATAAGAAATTACCAACAGCCGCAGTTCAACGGGGGTGCGCGTGCAGTGGCTGTGCGGTTGCTGGGACGCCAAATGATATAAAACAAACGAAATGTTTGATCTTATTTCACATTCTCGATTTGAAACTAAGATTTTATGGAGTTTACTACTTCCCTATGCAGTGACTGTAGCGGAATTGCCCACTTTGTGTGGTGTATAATTGTAAATATTTATGGAAATTTTGTGGCACACGTGCGTGTAGGTATGTATTTAAAAGCATTTATAAGTAGTATTTGTTTGTGTACATATATGTATGTACATACCTGCGTTAGCTGCGATGAGGCATAGTAGGATATTCTCGAGGGGCAGATCGATTCCGGCTTAGAGTAAATTGTGTCAGCGATATGATCTCTGCCCATGGGTAATAAAGCGGTCGCATAGGGCGAGGGTGTGGGCGGCGAACTGCGAAATCCTGCAAAGAAAATCAAAGCAAAGTTGTTGTTAATGTTTCTTATGTCTTACCTAAGAAAATTTATATGAAGATGTTCAGATCCAAATCATATTTTTCGCAGTACAGTTGTAAACGTAAAAAAAACAATGCAAGAGGATAATAAACGATATTTTCGTCTGTTTTGAAATGTACTTCATTGGAAAACTTAACAAAGGAAATTTTTCATTTCGCTCAGTAGCGTGAACAAAAATAGGGTAGTTCAATAAATAAAAATGCGAACAGAACGATATTAAAGAGTTAGTTTATGTTCGTATCCTTATGTTAGGCTAAGCTGGTTGTCCCAAATAGGGACACACCAAATCCAAAAGCTTTAGACTATGAACTATTCTGAGAGCTTTTCCACTGGGTTAAAAATGTGATCCAAGATGTTTAAAGATGTTTAGACTGTAGGCTTGCAAAAGTTGGACCCTTAAAGCGTTGGCGCTGAAATTATTCTCCCCTTTGCCGTTTTCCAAATTGCAACAGCAAGTAACTGGCTTGATATATAGTATCTAATCGGATAGTGTCCTGCCAATACACCCATCAGAGATTCCTTGACTGATTTCGGTACACCCCAGGGTGGAAAGGCCTTGCAAATACGTGTACTGGTTTTCGACCCGCATTCTCTGAGTTAACTTATTATAATTTGCTTGGGATGAACCCGAGGGTGCTTTTATTGGGCAAGCTCATCTCTATGCATTTTCCCGTAACACCAGCTTCACTTATTACCAATTTAAGTCTGATCAGGAAATACTCATTTGCTCCGAAAGAGAGTTCAGGCATTCCCTAGTTAGCTTTGAGCACACCATGAACGAGTCCTTCGCTCGGATTGAGGCTTTAAAATTAGAGTAGATATTTACCTACCTGGTCGAAGACCCATAAATAAGCAGTCAATCAACTGATACCTAAATGGCAGCTGAATACTACCACAACCTAGAAAAGATGGTGGCAAAAGTGCCATCCACCGAACCCTCCCTAAACCGTCAACCCATCTATTTAAAAGTCCATCGAGATCTCTCTCCAAACACTACCTCCCGTCTAATCATCGCCTAGAATGTGAGTGTAGAGATATTAAAGTAGTTGGGGCCAATCTAACCACGCAGAATTCTCTCTTATGAGGAATAAAATCGAAGCTTCTAAGAATATTCCATTTTCCAGTAAGTGTGACTGTAGCCATTGCTTCAGCAGGAGTGAAAATTTATGCCTTGCTCCAAATGAGGCTTCCCATGGGGATGGGTTACAAGGAATATGGATATAAAATGGAAACTATGACGGCTCTTCACTGCTAACAGTCCAGTTTCGTGCCTCGTCTCTAAGCAAACGCAAGGCAGCAAGGCTCTAAGTTCTCCCCGAGTATTTCAGCACACTTAACTAAATTTTTATACATTCATATGTACATAGATTTTTGTATTATGATCATATTCGTACTTGTATTCGTTTACATATGCGTATTCGTACTCATCTTCCTATTCGTATAAGTATTCGTATTCGTATTTGGATTTGTATTCAAGAACTTTTTGGTGCTTCTATTCATATTTGTGTTTATGTTAATACTAGTATTCGTTTTCATATTCCTTCATGTATGCTTATTCGTATGCCTATTCGTATTCGTACACGAATTTACTTACGTGCTTGTGTCGGTTCTTATTCGTAACCTATTTGTAATCGTGCTCATATTCGTATTCATATTCATAATAATATTCGTCTTCTAATAGATATTCGTATTCGTGCTAGTATTCGTATTCGTGCTAATTCTTCGAATACTTACTGTCAAATATGTTGCAGGACTTCTTCGACTCCGAAGGATACTTATTCAGGCTAGCGATAGTCGCATAGGAACCACTGTTCGCGCTTGGCGGTCTTCCCAACGGATCCAAGCGTATAAAAACGTTCTGATGGCTGCCATAAGCGGCAGTGGTGAAGCTAGTACTACAACAACAAGAAAAAACAAACATAAAAAGAAGTAGAGTAAAAGTGAGATATTAAATTCCATAAAGCAAATGCATTTACATTTCCCGCGAAATACTTACTGCATTGAATCCTGCCGTATCTGCTTGCGTGCGCGTACATACATGGCCGACGCAACCAGCCCAACAACCAGCACTAGGCCGAGTGCACAAGCCGCGGCACCCAGCAGCGCGTGTCCCGGCGAGGGCGCTTGAGCGGGCGCTGCTGACTGATTCGGAGCGGGAAATAAACCTGTATAATGAAAGAGAAGAACGAAAAAAAGAACAAGCAGAATATGCGAAAGAGAAGAGAAAATTGCAAATGAGCGATTAAAAATGCAATGTTGCCCGATGGCAATAATGTCATGAGGATAGGATGCGTGGATAGGAGACTCGGTGGACTACGTACTACATAAATAGATTAGCCAGGCTTGGTGAGGGCTTACCTTTGAGGCAGATTTTATTCCGTTTAAAATGCAATTTGGTGTCATTAGTGCGCGGCGGACCGCTCACCAGCATATTGACGACGAGCGGCACCTCCTTATTGCCATTGCCCGTACACGGCAAATGCACCAGAAACGTCTCAATTTGCTGTGGCACATAGCCCTTGTCGGGTATGCTGAGCGTGGGCGCGGCTAACGCAGTCTGGTCTTGCTCATAGTCGATGGTGATGGTGTAGGGCAGCTACAGGCGGCGTACATACATGCAATTGTTGTTGTTGTTGTGGTTGTATATGTATTTATGCGCGCGGGTGGTTACATGTTGGCGAGAAGGTTAATGGAGTGCAAATTAGATTTTGAGTGGTGCACAAGTGGGGTTACACACACATACACAGACACAGAGAAAAAGTGTAGGATGAAGAAAGGTGCGCTCCCTTATAAACTTACCGGATACGTGGTCAAACTCTGCCATGAGAACTCTAAATCATGCACATCTGCTGGCACTGGCACCGTGAAATGCATGGCGTATGTGTTTATGGCGCCCTCATGCACATAGAACAAATCCGCTTCCAAGCCTGGGGGTGAGTTGTTGAATTGAAAAGAAATAAGAATAGAGAACAAAAAAAAAACAGTTACTTATATGAAATATGTTTGCTCGTATGTTGAACATTAAAACGCAATTTAGTATTGTACGAGTATCAATTTTCAAAGAAATTTGCTGGTCTTTTTCCTCCCTTCGCTTGTGTGCGATTCGTAACCAACACTACGCGACATTATCAAGGGATGGATAGCAACCCCTGAAAGTTGCCAATACACTTGAGTAACTAATGCACATAATTTGACTCCTGCTGCAGGCCTTTTCCCTGCTTTGAACTTGCGTTGGTTAGAAAAAAAATGCTTGTACTATTTTTTCTAAAAGTAAAATAAAAAAAATTGGGAAAAATAGCTACAAGATTTTTTTTTTCGTTTTTGCCCTTTGAACGCGACACCTTCATCATCGTGCAATCAAATTGTTCGCTTTGGCAGAAGTGTTGCTGCGTTCAATCGCATACGAGTACTATTCCTTCACTCGGGGGTGAAAAAACACTTGAAAATTTATTATTAGTTCGTATGCTAGTGGCTCTATTTGCCAGAGATGTGCTGTGCAAGGAAAAAAAGGAGAAATATTAGATATAGCATTTTTACGCGCCTTTAGCACCGTTGATGGGGAGCGATTTTTTCGCCAAGTGCTTTCAATTTCAATTTTTTCCCCTTTTAACTTTTTCATGCCATTTTCATGAATGTCTTTATTCGTATAGTGATTTCTTCCCAAAAGCTTTTCCGAATACGCACGCACGTATGTGTAAGCAGTGTACCCATTTACTGTTGCATATAAAAAATATAAATTCTTTTTAGAAGGGTGAAAAGGCAATAGATTACTTCGAATGCGTAAGATATGAAAGGTATCAACTTTGTTTAAGGTTTGAAAGGGCTCACATTTTTATGAATGTTGTATGGTTGTGCTTTTCTCTCCATCCATTTCATGCTTGGCTGTTAAAGTGTGGGCAAGCGTTTATTTTTGTGGTTACTTATATATTTTTACATTGCTCCTGATGCATTTGATTACATAGACGAATTTGAATTATCGGTACTTTGTATATGAATCTAAAATCTTAAAAAAGTCCGGACTAGCGAAAAAGGAGTGCGCCTGTTCCAGCTTACTTTGATTCATTTTCAGTTCGTTTCATACTGCAGAAATTTTTATTATTCTTCATATTAGCTTAAGTCTCCGTTATAGCATTTGTCATCGTACCTAATAATAATAGGAGCCACGACGGTAATTGTAATGTTATTCCTATTAAATATTGCATTGGTAACGGTTAAAAGTAGTAGTAACGGTAATTATATTTGTAATTGTAATGGTAATGGTAATGGTAATGGTATTGATACTAGTATAGGTGATGGTTATAGTAGATATTGGTAACGGTAATCGTAATTATAATTGTATGGTAATGGTAATGGTTATGTTAATCTTAATGGTATTGGTAATGCTATCTGCCTTCGTAGTCGTATTCGTACTCGCCTCTATCTTCATCTACGTATTCGCCTTCATCTTTCTCTAAGCCTTCGTATTCGTCTTCGCCTCCGCACTCGTATTCATATTCACCTTCGTTTTCATTCTCGTATTCGTGTTCGGCTCGATATTCGTCTTCATTTTGCTTATCGTGCACGTCTTGTCTTTTATGTTCGCATTCCTCTTCGGATTTGTATTTCACTTCGTATCCGGCTTTGTCTTTCTCATAGTGGAAATAATATAATGAAGCTCTCAAAATTACAACTACAAAATCTCAACATGGCGTCCATACCCAAACGTAAGGCGTACTCTACGTCAAAAAACAGCCGTCCAAAATTCTGGTTTGATAAGCAATTGATTATGGTTAGCCTGTTGAGCATGATAGATAGAGTAAAAGTTTTAGCGGGATTACTTTAATTTTTACGGTTTAAAGTCCCACTGACATCAAGAGGGCATTCAACAACGTGTGGCCGAAGGTGATAGCTAAATTACTACATAAAATTCTAAAATAAATCTTAAAAGGTATGTAGTACAACGTTGCCTTTGGCAGAACTGTCTTAGCTGAGTGAAGCAGCATCTACTGGTAACATGTAAGTGTTTTTACCTATGGTCTGGATGGTAGTCGTAAGTGATTTGCTTTGGAAGTGAGGAGATTGCCTATGTAGAAGACGTGGCGCTTATATTCTTGGGAAAATTTGTGGACAGCTTCTATGAGATGCTAAAAGGTTACCTGAAAACTAAATAGAAGGCTAATAGTAATCTCGCCGTCAGTCCTAGCAGGACAGAACTGTTCTTATTCACTAGCTAGTACTAGATAGATCCTCAACCCAATATTTCCTTCGAAGCTATCGTGGTAGCAAAATTAACCAAATAGTGTAGAGTTAGGAAGATACCAGTGTAGCAGGGAAGCTACTGGTAAGAGATGTCTCCCACTCAAAGTACATGCTTTGCCACATTAAACCATAGTCAAAGTCATAATATTTTGTGGCATTTCATTCTAATGGAATTGCCTAGAGACAGGCAGGTGAGCGGACTGCTCTCAATAATACCGCCTACAAAATGTCAGGTCAGGTCTTTCTCTACACACAACATGGCGGGAAGGAGTAAAGACTTAGACAACAAGCGCTATTACGTACAAAGTCCTTCTTGCCCAGGTTGGATCGACAGAAGTTTAGGAAGCCCTTAATGCTAGAAAGCCGCAGCTGCCGTAAGACACTGCGGAAAGGCACGGAGGATGACAGTATTCATTGAATTTTGAAAGATGGACCCTTGCAGGATGGTTACGTTGAATATCGCAGACGATGAAATAAATAACTGTATGAGCTTTACAACGACATTTCCACTTAGAGTTCAGCGAGTAAAATACATATATCCGCGGATAGCTCATGACTTTTGAATGGATACAAACGCCTAAAAAGTAGGTATTTGATGCGGTACCAGCCGTCAGATGCCACGGGTTGTCTAGAAAAACTCAATTTTATTCCCCTATTCTCTCAATAATACATAAGTATGTCAAGAGGAATGATTTGAAACTTGACATTTTTGATTAAATGCATCCACTTGAACTCAAAATGGCACCTCCCGCAGTTCTTCTGCCATCAATATTTCCCTGCTCTGTATCGTTTTATTAGCAATTTATACTTAGCTTAAAGCGCACTTAATCTCCAACAAATTGGCCACGAAAATGAAGTGCCAAACTGAATATCTGTGATATTCCCGTTTATTCTCTCTTCCCTACTTGCCGCACTCGTTTCAACAGCCAATACTGTGTAAAAGCGTCAAATGTCAGTCGCCGAAATACCAAGAGGCGAATAGAAAATACGCAAAATGAATGCCGGATAAACGTGGCGTTGATGTCAAATACATTTTGAACAAAGATTGCTTAGAAAACTCATTTTGTGTCTTTGTCAAATGCTGCTAACATTTAAGTGTCTTTTGATGGAAGATATTGTGTTGGCAAACAAGCGGCGTTAGATTTCCGTATTTACTCATGCATCCCTCCACCTTGTGGGGGGTGCGATGGGTGTTGTGTGTCGCATGGTCGCATAGTTAAGGCGGCGGCTCCTTTGTCTCTTTGTAGCGGGTCAAAGACGTTTGGTGCCGCTGGGGAGCCAAAGCTTCTTTGTACATAGTGTAGTGCACTTAAAAGTAAACGATGTGAAATTAGATTTCTTTGCTGCATTATTCACTCATTGGGATCATTGCTAATCCATTCGCATTTCGCAATTGACAAAAGCGTCTTTTAACAAGCGACAAAGGCAGCGACAGCGACATCGAAAACGACAACGTTGAAATGAAAATTTTGCTTGCACAAGGAAAATGTCGCTATCTTCTGCACAAGCACATCAGCAGTTGTAGATGGGTAAACACGGAAACGCCTTGACGCAAGATGCGAGATTGCTGACATGCTGTTAGTCCAAGCCGGTTGTGCCAGCAATCTGCGGGTTAGACGAGCAACGGCAGACAGTCAACTGCTTCTTTGCCACCAGCTGCAAACAGTCAGCAAATAACCAATACTTCTCTCAGTTTGGTGTTACAGTTATCCTGTTCCGACATGCTTCCCGCTTGGCTGTTTGGCTAACTGGAGTGATATAGTTTGGCACGAATCTGACTGCGCTCATTGACATTTAAATAGAATGCCTGTATGTCTGAAGCAAATTGCCTTTGCTCAGTGGCTAGACTTGGCCCTCTGCGAGCCGTGTGGGCGGTGTGGGAACGATGGTCATACGATTAAAGTTGAAGTGGGCTTACATATTGATCTCGCATATAAGAAAATGGAATACAATTTTAAAGCGAATACTGGTTGCTTTAATTTGAACCATATTATTATGGTTTAGCGAATTCAAGTCACTAGAAACTCGTGAAAAAACAAAAATTACGATCTTTAAGTTTGTTATCATTCCCGTTCTTTAATAAGCCGCGGAAAATCAAAGGATGTCTAGCGAAGATGTGATCAAATCAAATGAATGAAATAGTCAAAAAGTATTGCATTACTTACGCCTCTGGCCTCTGACATGCAGTTCAGTCTTTTTGTAATTTTTTCTTTCGTCTATAGAGGGCTTTGCTTTTCAATTGTCTATCGGTCCCAAAACAAAGTTGTGTTCCCCTTGTTCTTCTGGCCAATATTATTGGAAGTGTTACTGCCTTGGGAGACAAAACCGTTCACTATTTCGCATTAACCACTGCGTACAGCAACATGCTGTGCAAATAGACGAAGCCTCTTTGCTTGCTACCAGCTAAAACAAAGTCTCTTGCCACACTAAATCGCCCTGCCTAAAATTACGTTTGGCTTCCAACGGTGTGGGAGGTCGTTTCCAACTTGGATGGAGCTTAGAGTTCTACTCTACGTCGCTCTTTTTGTGATTAGGGCACTTGGACTCCAATCTTTGAGCGTGTATTAGTCAGACCTATCAGCTCTTCTCCGATGGCCTTGAACAGCTTCCCTGGTATTCCGTCGGTTTCTCGGGATTTACTATATTTAAGCCACATTATTACTGGTCGCACTTCATCTTGTTAAAATGA